GGCAAGTTACACTAGTTTTTAGGGTGGAACATGTGACATGTTCTAGCAGCTGCACTCCGCATCGCCCTCCCTGCGACAGCGGGAAGGGGATCCCCTCCCTGCACTGAGTGCTCTGGTAGTTCATGGATTCTTCCTGCTCTCAAGTAACTGCCTGCCTGTACAATGTACAGGCAGACAGCTATCCTGAGAGTCTGCAAGTGCATGAGATTGCACCCGTGATCTGCTGATTTCAAGTGCATTGCTCTGCAGGCTCCTCAGAAAAAAAAATAAATGTATATTTTTTTTATCCATGCAAAAAATATGCATTTATTATTTTTCTCAAAAGGTGAACTTAACCTTTAACTAATTCACAGGTTTGCTTTTCCATCATAAGAGCGTGAAATACTGGCCTTTCAGGAGACACACAAACAGCAGGTTTAAATGCGTCAGTCAGCTTTCCTCCTGTTCTCTCTCAGGAGCCATTCCTACTGTAAGCCTGATATTAAATTGCACTGAAATATAAAATGCAATACTTAAAACATATTTACTATTAATAGCATTTAAATATGAATTCCAGAAAACAGCTAAATATGACGTTCAAATACATATTCAGTATGTAAACTGTATTACCAGCCAAAGGATTTAATATTCTTTTCAAACACACTTGTGATCTACAGTATATAACCTTCATAGACAGCACAGCCAGGCAGATGACCCCACTATTCTCTGCTGCAGTTAGGTAATACAGTTTAGTCATGGACATACCCTAGCCTGTTGGACAGCGGAGCAGCGGAACACTGATGACATCCACGCTACTCTTTCTGCTGGTTGCACATGAGCACTACAGCAGAGGCCTACTGGCTGGAATGTTGTCTATCCCATTCTGAGGCCTCAAGTACAGGGGATATCAAGACAGAGTCAGATATGTATACTGGTTGCATGTAAAAACACATTTAATTATCAAGAAAATAAAGATGCGATCTCCATATATTGCAAGATCTGTACTTGAAATGCATATATACAGCTTGATGAAGAGCATTGTTAGGGCTCATGTACATGGGACGTTTGGAAAACTCTTCTGAACACTAGAGACTGACTGCTGGAAAACAAAGGTTAAAAAATGCCAGTTTAGCCACGTTTGCATACCGCGTTTATGTCAGTTTGCATTTAGAAGCGTTTTTAAAAGATAACCTCAGGAGACCTTCCAAAATGTCCAGAATGCACTGAAAAACAGTAGATAATTAACTATTTCAGACATTTGTGAGAAATGGAGTGAGCAGAAGCAGAGAGCGCAGTATGTGTGGAGATGACCTGTCATTTCTGGTTGTATTCACTATGGATCCCATCATGAGCATAATGCGGCACGTTCTACCATTTTTTTTGCTTCACATGAAACCTGGAACTGACTGCGCTGGTGTACCGGGTCCATTTGAACACATGGAAAATGCTCTGCATGCATTTCTGATGATGAAAAAAGGCTCTGGACAGCATCTGGATATGGAACAGTTAAAAAAACGCTTCTAAACGCAAAAGCTTATAAAACACGTTTAAACGCCGGTAAAATCTACTCCTGAACGCAAGTTTGGTGTGTTAAAAAAAAAAAAGGACTGTAAACTGAACTGCCTGTAAACAATGATGTGTACATGGACACAAAGGAAAACATTAGGGAGAGTTCAGGGGCTGATGATGAAGAAAACCGCTAAACAGTTCCTAAACGTCAGTCAGTTTATCAGCTGCAGTGTACATGAACCCTTATGCTTGAAACTGTACAGTTTTCAAATGAAGATAATGCAATATATGGAGATCGCATCCTCGTTGTCTTGATGCATATGTAAGTGGATGGAGTGGGAGCCCACTTTTGATCTAATTTCTATGTGAGAAACTTGTGGCAAAATTGGAAGTAAGTGTGTGTGTGTATTTATTACACACACACACATATATATATATATATATATATATATATATATATATATATATATATATATATATACACACATACATACACAGTGGGGATCAAACGTTTGGGCACCCCAGCTAAAAGTTTGTAATAATGTGCATAAAGAAGCCAAGGAAAGATGGAAAAATCTCCAAAAGTCATCAAATTACAGATTAGACATTCTTATAATATGTCAACAAAAGTTAGATTTTATTTCCATCATTTACACTTTCAAAATAACAGAAAACAAAAAAATGGCGTCTGCAAAAGTTTGGGCACCCTGCAGAATTTATAGCCTGCACTGCCCCCTTTGCAAAGCTGAGACCTGCCAGTGTCATGGATTGTTCTCAATCATCGTCTGGGAAGACCAGGTGATGTCAATCTCAAAGGTTTTAAATGCCCAGACTCATCTGACCTTGCCCCAACAATCAGCACCATGGGTTCTTCTAAGCAGCTGTCTAGAAAACTGAAACTGAAAATAGTTGACGCTCACAAAGCTGGAGAAGGCTATAAGAAGATAGCAAAGCGTTTTTAGATGTCAATATCTTCTGTTCAGAATGTAAGAAAGAAATGGCAGTCATCAGGAACAGTGGAAGTTAAAGCAAGATCTGGAAGACCAAGAAAAATATCAGACAGAACAGCTCGCAGGATTGTGAGAAAAACAATTCAAAACCCACGTTTGACTGCACGATCCCTCCAGAAAGATCTGGCAGAAACTGGAGTTGTGGTACACTATTCCACTATAAAGAGATACTACAAATATGGTCTTCATGGAAGAGTCATCAGAAGAAAACCTCTTCTACGTCCTCACCACAAAAATCATCGTTTGAACTTTGCAAATGAACATATAGACAAGCCTGATGCATTTTGGAAACAAGTTCGGTGGACCGATGAGGTTAAAATTGAACTTTTTGGCCGGAATGAGCAAAGGTACGTTTGGAGAAGAAGGGGCACAGAATTTAATGAAAAGAACCTCTGTCCAACTGTTAAGCATGGGGTTGGATCAATCATGCTTTGGGGTTGTGTTACAGCCAGTGGCATAGGGAACATCTCACGAGTAGAAGGAAAAATGGATTCAATAAAATTTCAGCAAATTTTGGATGGTAACTTGATGCCATCTGTGAAAAAGCTGAAGTTAAAGAGAGGATGGCTTCTACAAATGGATAATGATCCTAAACACACCTCAAAATCCACGGGGGATTACATCAAGAGGCGTAAACTGAAGGTTTTGCCATGGCCTTCACAATCTCCTGACATCAACATAATTGAAAATCTATGGATAGACCTTAAAAGAGCAGTGCGTGACAGACAGCCCAGAAATCTCAAAGAACTGGAAGACTTTTGTAAGGAAGAATGGGCAAAGATACCTCAAACAAGAATTGAAAGACTCTTGGCTGGCTACAAAAAGCGTTTACAAGCTGTGATACTTGCCAAAGGGGGCAGTACAAGATATTAACTCTGCAGGGTGCCCAAACTTTTGCAGACGCCATTTTTTTTTGTTTTCGGTTATTTTGAAAGTGTAAATGATGGAAATAAAATTAACTTTTGTTGACATATTATAAGAATGTCTAATCTGTAATTTGATGCCTTTTGGAGATTTTTCCATCTTCCCTTGGCTTCTTTATGTACATTAATACAAATTTTTAGCTGGGGTGCCCAAACGTGTGTGCGTTTGTGTTATACACACGACACATACATTCATACATGCACACACTCATTCCACCACACATAACTCCAGAAAAAGAAAGTTTTCCAAAAATAGCCATTTATAGTAAAGTACATTATATATTATAATAAAACTAACACTTGATAACTTTCATAGACCTGATTAATAGGATATACCAAAAGTAACAGATTCTCTTAAAACAATCATTTCACAATCTATGATAAGAATAAGCACTTTTAATAAGACAGATCATTAAGAATGGAGTTACACAGCCAATAAAAATACTGCAACACATTCCAGCTTAGCTTGTGACACTTACAATTTGTGGACATCCGTGACACTTGCAATCATTTTATATTATTGAATCTGTAATTTATGGCATGAAGAAACTTCTGACATTATGGGTAATCTCTCCTGGCAGATCATCAATCGTTCCCTACACATGAAGAGCTCAAGCCTTCCTCCCCATATGATATAGTTGGCTGGGTCAGGAAGAAGTCCACACCCAATCCTAGTGGTTGTATGATTTTCACTAAGACTAGCAGACACCTCATCAATAATCAGTCATTATGAAAGAACTGCCCATCTGTGGATAAAGGTTTTATATGAATAAATAATAACTAACCACTGTCATCACCCTGTCAGTGGTAAATGGTTTTTTTTTCAACCTTCTAACTGCTACATCAGCAGAACAGCTTGTTCTGTTGAAAAAGAACAGACCTACAGGCTTAATCACCAGGAGAAACAAAAGAAAGAAATCCTAAAAAAGAAAACTAATGCAGACATTACATCTAAGAACTGGTAAGCTGCAATATAATACAGGTTTGCTTTTGGGTTTAATACCACTTTAAATTCACTGGCGTTCCTGAGTGGATATCCACAAACAGACACCATCACCAGGACCAGAGAGTATAGGTCTAAGAATTGAAGATTTGTTGTACTGAAAATGATAATGGGCACCCTTATATGTCACTATGGGCTTTACAATACTTGCAAAAACATTTCAAATAATGGAATTTAAATTAGCTGCAATCTCCAGACAACAGAAGAAATAAAAGGAAAGCTCAGGAAGGGAGCAGTGCCAAACCTTGTACTGTGTAATATTTGCTTATCATAATAAAAAGTAACATAAACAAGCAAACTGTCAATGAAGTTTGCACTTTGGAGGCTACTGAGTACATGCAAATTGCACATTAACTTCATTCCATGCTTGCAGCCAGACTTCCACAGACATGGGAGATTTGTTTATGACTCTGGAAACACAGAAGGCTCACAAAGCCCTTAGCATCAGGAAGATTGTATTCTGTTAGGTCTTGCTAGGAAAATAGAAAGCCAAAATGTCTTCAGTCAGCCAACATTTACCAATATGAATAAGTTAGTGTGATAGGAATATCACGGTCGGTTCACTTTTCTGTACAGTCAAAACATGATTTCCGACAGACCTAGAAAGACAAGAAAGAGGGATGACAGCTATCCGGAACAGACATTAGAATCTTTTATATGTGTGGTCATCTCTTGGATTGTAAGCTCCCAGGGTCAGGCCCTCCTAACCCTCTTGTATTGAACTGTATTGTTGTTGTATTGTCTCCCCTTATATTGTAAAGCGCTGAGCAAACTGTTGGCGCTATATAAATCCTGTATAATAATAATAATAATAATAATAATATTTTCCATTTGGCAAGACAAGAACACATCCCAGGTCTCACAGGGGCAAGGATGAATATGTACGTTAAAGGATAAGTTCACCTTTTGGAACATGTTATATGTTTTCACCCATATTAAAAAGGTGGAAGATGTAACATGTTCCAGCAACTGCAGTCTGTCCTGCTCCCCCCCCCCCCCCCCCCAAAGCGAAAGCGAGCAGGATCTTCTCCTGACGCCCGCTATCACTATTTGAATATAAAGCGGCCATGCAGGGCTCCACCCACAGAGCCTCGTCATTCTTTCACAGTTTTCTGTGAAACACTTAAACTACAAGCACGTCATCCTTTGTGGCTGATGGCTTGTAGTTCTGAATGGACTGATGAGCGTCCTTGTAGTTCATTCACAAGCCCTGCAGTTTGTGAACAGTCAGCCCATGTGAAGATATGGGCTGAAAGCTGCAGAGCTTGTCAGCAAGAGTCTGGCATTGCACCCCTGATCATGGGTGCAAAGCTATCCAGGCTGCTTAAAATAAATAAATGCATGTTTTTTCCTGCAAAAATAAGTGCATTTATTATGTTTCCCAAAAGGCGAACTTATACTTTAAAAGAGAAGTGTGGGTTAACAAAAAAAAAAATATATACTTACCTAGGTACCAATGCTGCATCTGTAGCCCCTCCCCCCTGTGAGCACTAAGAGCTGAGCGATTCTAAGACTCTAAGAGCTGAGCAATCAAAGACCACTGTTCTCTCAGTTTTCAGTGTTCCATGAGCAGAGCCAGTGACTGTCAGTCATCGGCTCTCTGCTCCTCCAGTGCTCGCTGGAGCACTGAGCTGTGCATAGGGCAAGAGTGGCCCCCTAGCTGAGAAAGCTGGCGATCCAGACTTCTGGGCAGATCCCGACCATATGATTCGGATCTTTTCAGAGCCTGTACCAGCTCTGTGACCTCAAGCGACAGCGAGATATAACATGCTGACAGCTGAAAACGGGTCATAGAAGTGCAGAAAGAACTGCACTCCTGTGATCCCCAGAAGTACAGCCAAAAGAGCTTTGGCTATACGTCTTCTTTAAAGAGTAAAAGGTTTTCTGTACATAGGAACTGTTTATTGTTAGATTGAAACTGAGCTCAAAAAGTGAATTTTGGATATGTCGTAGCTTATGCCTAAAAGTTTTATTTGTACCTAAGCAGTCACCTTTAAAATCTACCTCTTGTCTGCAATTACTACTGAAGAACAGTATGTGAATGTACCTAGGCATCCTGTGCCTAAAGCCCCATAACTGTATATCTACAGTGTGAGATTTAAGGTACTGCTGCCACTGACTGATAGTCTCAGGAGATTTGGTGATATCACACTACTGTGCTGCCCACTGTTCTCATTGCAGTAGGTTCGGACATGAGGAAGCAAGACCCTGCCTTTGTCTCTGTGTGAAGGCAGCCATCTTAATAAAGGCAGGGTGTATGAGACTCTGGCATTTAGATGTGGGCAGAAAGTACAGGCGCACCCATCCAGCCCCGCTGTCAGCACCCTGTAAAACTCTATAAGAGGAGGAAAGCTTCTGCGGTTGGACAGTGCGCCGAGTGCTACCAACTTTCACAGCAGTATGCGCCCAGAAATGAAACCTTGGAACGTAAACAGATGGTCTTGTGAGAATTCGTCCCTGGGCGTTAACCTTAAAAATTTTGAAATATGTTAATGAGGAACTGAACTCTGGAAGATGTGCGCAAAAAGGCAGGCAGCGGATCTTTTCTACTTTACTGACTTACCATGCCTTGATCTGGACTGTCTTTGTGTGAAAGCAACTCTGTTGATAAAGTGCAGAACAAGGCATGGTAAATCAGTAAAGAGGAAAAGATCAGCTGTACTCTCTGCACCGTTCAGCCGGAAGCAGCTTTCAGCCTCCTATAGAGTTTTACAGGGTGCCGGCGGTGGGGCTGAACGGTGCGCCTGTGCCTCCCCTCGGCACATGTCCGTAGATGACGTCATGCAGGCGGGTGGACTCCCCACGGACAACGTTCAGTTTCTTTTTGAGTGCATCAGTGCTTCTAGAAAGCAGCACAGTGCTTTCTGCAGCCTGACCAGGCTCCTTCTCAGTCTGTCCTGCACAAATATGCGGACTGAGCAGCTCAGCGGCCCTTCTGTCAGACAATTACATGCTCTCCCTTACATATTCTATTTGTTTTTTAATAAATTGAATTGTCTTTAATTACTACACTATAAAAGTTTGTGCTGGATTCTTTGTTTTTCTATCCTGAATCACCTACTAGCATTTCATCTCTTGGATCTTTGCACCTAAGCAGCACCACAAACTGCTATGGCTAATGCTCTTGAATCTCTATATGGTTTATAAGTTTGTTCTATTTTTACAAAAAAAACTTCTATAAGACCATCCACCTGCTGAATTTCCACAGTCTCCATCTCCGAGGTCAGAAGACTCAATTGAGAGAAAAAAATTTAAAAGAGTGGTCCACGATGTACGCATCAGTTTTTTTAAAATATGCTGAGACAAAATGTCCTTACCCAAGTGTAATGAGTCTTTTGTACCCCAGGTGATGCAGTAGTGGAGAAGCAGCTGTTCCAGTAATTCCTTCTCATCCAAAAATTCCAGCTTCTCAATCCTGGGAGAGGGGAGACAAAATGGTATTTTACTTATTTATTGCATTCATTTATATAGTTTCAAAAAACTTTACAGTGTAAAGTTTTACAGAGTACATCGACATCAATCCCTGCCACTGATTACATCACGTCCCCAGCACAAATATACACCTATCAGGGCAAATAACCAAAGCAAAATAACCTACCATTATAGGTTTAAAATTATGGACAAAAGCTGGAGCCCCTAGAGAAAATAAAACATATTGGGGTTGATTTACTAAAGGCAAATAGACTGCACTTTGCAAGTGCAGTTGCACTCATTTTCAGTTGCACATAGTAAGTGTAAATGTGGTAAAGCTTGACTGTAAATAATATCCAATTAGGTGCAGAGAAATTTTTTAAAATGTCATTTTGCTTGTACATGATTGGATGATGGAAATCAGCAGAGCTCTACCACGTTTACTAAGCTCTAGGGAAATGAATGCAACTGTATTTGCAAAGTGCACAGTCTATTTGCCTTTTGTAAATCCACCACCTCCATGACTCCTTGTACAGATGAGAGATTTACACAAGACACCTGTACTAAAAAGTAACATAAAATGTACCTAAATATTTTTTTTAGTAGGATGGTGTAAGGAAGAGTTAGAACCCCTGTCAAGTTTTTATTGGTGTCTGTGCCTACTACTAGGGCGATGCAGCTTCTCTATTTGTTCTGATTGACCTTCCCTGTTTGCTTTGCTGACCATTGTCATTCAGACTAAAAGCCACTGTTTACAGCTATCACCAGATGAAGAAGAGAGGAGAAATCTTAAACTCACCACTCATTACATTCTGACTATACATTCTTCTTTATATTTACCAAACAACTATGTAGTGCAAGGGCCCATCTGATTGGATACAGTTTATTTTAATAATTTAGGCCTGGTTCACACCTATGAGTGTTGCAATCTGCTGTGAACCAAAAGGTCCCTGATCCTTTGCAAAAACATAACGGCTAAAAACCCATAGATGTGACATAGATGTGAACGTGTCCCATAGGAAACCATGTTGAATGAATTGTAGTGAGATTCTGCAAAATGCAAAAAGCACTAAAAAAAACCCAAAAAAAACAAAACATGGGTGTGAACCTGGCCTTAGTAGGTTCCCCTATTACATAGATTAGGTAAATCTAAAACAGGATAGTACAAAGATTGTAAGATGTAAGGATAGCCATATACGTATACACTTAAAGGATAAGTTCACCTTTGGGAACATGTTATATGCTCCACCCGTTTTTTTAGGATGGAACATGTAACATGTTCCCATAGCAGCAGCTGTGCCTGCCACCCCCCCTCCCTCTGACAGATAGTACGGGGAGAAGATTCCCTGTACTGTCAAATTTGAAAACAACGTGACCATGCGGGGCTCGGCCCACATGGCCGCATCATTTGCGGACTTCCGTGAATTAATGAACTGCAAATCCCAGCTGCCTTAGTGAATGTCGGCTTGCAGTTTTCAATGAACTACCACGGCGCTGTGGAGCGCTGTGGTAGGTCAATTAAGCTTCGGGTCAGAATATCTGCTTGGCTGTACACCCCGTAGGGCAAGCAGAGATTCTGATATTTACTGATCACTGGTCCAAAGCTTTCCAGGCTCCTTTGGACAAAAATAATAAATGCACTTTTTATTTTTTACCTGCATTTATTATTTTTTTCCAAAAGGTGAACTTATCCTTTAACATCATTCAGAGAGGAATCTTCCCTGCTGGCAATTGTAACCAAACAGCCAGCACCAGCAGCTGTCTGCATACCTGGACAGTGACTGCATCAGACTGGATGTAGTCACTCTGTAGCTGATAATTTCCACCTATCTCCTTTGAATTTTCAAAGTTTGTTGAGCTGGGTAGTGTCGGCAGTACCAACCATGGCTTGAATCTTAGCCAAGTAGTAGGAATGAGCCAAAATTGTAGTTGTGTCTAACATAGTGTGCATGGCTTCACCCTACACCCCAGCAGCAGTCTATGCCAATCGGATCTTACAACCATGCCTCTCCTCTAGTAACAACGGTGAATCTTGTTCCCAGTAACAGGAATCTGCTAGTAAAACGGCCAGTGCTTTACATAGCTCAACCTTGTCTTCCTACTAGGACCGAGCAGGATGAGTGTAGAAACTACAGGAGGGACACTGTCCTTTTCCTGAGAACAGTGCATGTGCGGTGCTCTCACTCTACAATCAGCTCAAATGAGCCCAGGGGCTGTAACAGGAAACAGAACGCAACCTGCATATGTTCCTCCCTTGGGAAAATTACAGAACTCCCTCTTATAGCGCCAGGTTTTGTGTTAAAAGTATACCTTATGGTGCTACTCCAAGCTACGGGTGGAAGGAAAAGGATCACCCCACCGGCACGTCAGAAGAGGGGAGCATGAGTCCGGGTGATTCAGGTGTCAGCCAATACAAGTGAAGGGATGGACGCAGCTCAACCAACCCCAGGAGTCCAATGTTAAGGAATGGCCTCAGCCACCATACTGGCCATGCCCTGTGATGTATTTTGCCCCCCCCCCCCACTGGGGGGGGCTTGGTCCAAGCCCCCACCCCCCGGTGGGCGGGGCAAAACACATCAGAGGGCATAGCCAGTACGGTGGCTGAGGCCATTCCTCAACATTGGACTCCTGGGGTTGGCCATGCCCTGTGATGTGTTTCACTCCGTCCACCGAGGGTGTGTGGCGGCTTGGACCAGGCGCGCCCCCTCCCCCCCTGTGGCTGGTACAAAGTGCATCAGAGGGCGTGGCCAGTATGGTGGCTGAGGCCATTCCCTAACATTGGACTCCTGGGGTTGGTTGAGCAGCGTCCATCCCTTCACTCACCAGGTTTTCGTTATCATGAATATCATCCACAAGTATGATTGAAAGATTTGTTTTGCATATAGTGCTGCAATGGTGTAGTGTGACTGCATTACCGGGAACATCCCACAGGAGTTGTAGTTTTGGAGTTGCTTTGACCCAGTCAAATTCTAGCCATTACAATTCGGCCCTTGCCAAAGTTGCTCAAATCCTTACGCTTGCCCATGTTTTCTACTTTCAACAAACCCACTTTAGGGTGCCAATGTCATTCCCTTTACCCGTCAGCGGTCATAAGGCTATGGCTGATCAGTGTATGCGTTTTGTTCTGCCAGTCTTAGTGGCGCCCCGGTGCCCAGCAGTTCCCCACTATCATTATGTTCATTACGCCCAGGGTTGGCATGCCAGGAGTCATTAGCCATGGGCACAAAAGCTTGTCATATCTCCCAGGTACACCTCTATGGCTACAGATATGGGTTTCCAAGCAAATTGTTTTGTTAATCTGCTTCTTCCATTCATCCAGTGTGGGGGGATTTGGAGAGGTCCATCTCATAAGAATAAGCTTCCTGGTTTGAAACAGAGCTCTTCAAATTGCTTCCTTTGAGTTTTGTATGGAAGGTGTTCAGTATATCCCACAATACACATACAGTAAGAGTCACCAATGATGTCAATCTGAAATACTGCATTTACCATACTAGTGACTGCACCCCAACAGCGCATTTAGCCAGTGATATACTCACAAACGACAATGGTGAAAAAGCTCATCATGAAGAACAGCAATATCCGGTCCGCCTGTTACGGTAATCCCCACAGGAACAATGGACCTCCAATAGGCTAACACGTTTCAAAGACTTGCCCCTTCCTCAGAGCCTGCGTGCACAGAGCCTGTGCCTCCTTTATAAATGGCCTGTGAATACGGTTCTGTCAGGCTATATTTGCATGGGCGGCTATCACGCTCTCACAAAGTGCATCCAACAGTGATCAGGTAATTGCTGGCTGGGTGTACAGCCACAGATAGCTGTGGTCACCACCAACCTGTCATTGAAGTGAACAGGGCTCGGTGGCTGCAGCTAGCTGTTCACAAGTGGCGGAAATAGCTACAGGCATCAGCAATTCCAACTGCTGTCATTCCCACTAGCGCTAGTTTCCCGTGCAAATGTAGTATTATAGCAGGAGAGGCATTAAATAACTGTATGAATATTCAGACATGACACAGGATAGATGTATGAGGTTACATACCGCGCTACATCATTCTGAGGTAGACTGCCATATACTCGGATCATGTCCAAGGCATCTGCTGCTTCCCACCCATTAGACAACAGTCGATCAATCTGCAACAAATACAATCATGTAAAATCACCACTTTTTAAAGAATTAAAACAGAATTTCCACATTTTTATAAATGTCAATATATAAAATGTATAAACATAAAATTTGTACTTAACCTGGTCTAACAAATCAGATATTGCAAGACAGGACATAACCTACATGTCTGTATATATTATTTAAAAACACATCTTGTAACTTCATGCTGTTTCTATTTTTCTATTTTTGCCTTAATTCTTTGGAAGTTTAGAGATCCTGGCTTTAATGCAAAGAGACAGTTTATTGTCAGTCAGACTTTAGGGGGGCCAGAACATGGCCAGTAGATAATGCCTTAGGCTTGGTGGTCAGTGGGAGTAATACAATTGCATAGTACCCCTGTAGTCAATAGGAAGAAGAATAGTGCCCCCATCGTTTGGAATTAGTGGGAGGCATAGTGCCCCCATCGTTTGGAATCAGTGGGAGGCATAGTGCCCCCATCGTTTGGAATCAGTGGGAGGCATAGTGCCCCCATCGTTTGGAATCAGTGGGAGGCATAGTGCCCCCATCGTTTGAAATCAGTGGGAGGCATAGTGCCCCCATCGTTTGGAATCAGTGGGAGGCATAGTGCCCCCCATCGTTTGAAATCAGTGGGAGGCATAGTGCCCCCATCGTTTGAAATCAGTGGGAGGCATAGTGCCCCCATCGTTTGAAATCAGTGGGAGGCATAGTGCCCCCATCGTTTGGACTCAGTGGGAGGAATAGTGCCCCCATCGTTTGGACTCAGTGGGAGGAATAGTGCCCCCATCGTTTGGACTCAGTGGGAGGAATAGTGCCCCCATCGTTTGGACTCAGTGGGAGGAATAGTGCCCCCATCGTTTGGACTCAGTGGGAGGAATAGTGCCCCCATCGTTTGGACTCAGTGGGAGGAATAGTGCCCCCATCGTTTGGACTCAGTGGGAGGAATAGTGCCCCCATCGTTTGGACTCAGTGGGAGGAATAGTGCCCCCATCATTTGGAATCAGTGGGAGGAATAGTGCTCCCATCGTTGGGAGTCCGTGGAAGGTATAGTGCTACATCCTTAGTATAAGTGGAAGGAATAGAGTCACATCATTTGTGCTAGTGGGAGGAATAGTGCAACATTATTGGTGTGAGAGGAAGAAGTCATGCCCCATTGTTTATGTCAGAGTGAGAAATAGCGTCCAAAGCGTGGATAAAAGCAAGCAAGGGGTTGCATGTGCATAGAAATGTGCTTTTATTAAAGAAGAATGGTAACACTTATACAGCATGTATTGGCTTTTGAGCATCTTGTGTACACAATAGGGTATTATGCTATAGGAAAGCTGCATACAGCTGCCCAGGGAATGGCAACAAGGACAACTTGAGCAAACTCCCAGCTTGAATTCCATGATGCAAAGAAAAGAATCCTTGCTCATCTCCTGCGTAAGCTGAGCTGTCATTAGTACAGAGCATTCTAGATAAGGGTGGCGGGGAGGGGAGGAGGGGGTCACATTCATTTCTTGCAGTTGTCAGTTTTTGAGGATTATGCAAAAGCTGCTTGTCTATTGGCCATAAAAGAATAAAAGTATTGCCTGTCTATATTTAGTCATTTCCATTCATCCATATTGAAAATGATACATTGATTTTTAAAAGACACCTCTGATACAAAAGCATTATTTAAATGGAAAAAGCTGATTAAATCACCAACTACATTTAACCTCCTTTTCTTGTGATGAAAAAAGCCACTGATATCCAGTCTAGCGCCTGACAGCTTGGAACCTATTCTGTTTAAGTCATAAGCAGTGTAATAGACATTCATTAGAAATCTGTCTCGCGGTAGTGCGACTATTGGTGTCACTTATGACAGACTCATATATGTGTCAGTAAATTGAATATGTATCTGTCCCATATACGTGGCCCAATGCTTACACCTGCGGCACCATCATCCATTATGGAAGAGATCTTATTTACCCACCACTTTCCTTTTCTATATGGGGGTGTTTATGTATCTGTTGCAACAATAGCAACAGACAGTAAAAGCAAATAGGATCTGCACAAACTTGTCGCACGTCACTACCCACAATGAAAATGTCACATGGGTCTCATGAATTTTCTGCAAGGCTTCCTAATACTTCTTACACATTGTCAGAAATGCTCCACAAATGCGTTATTAACCACTTGACCTCCAGAGGATTTAACCCCCTTAATGACCAGGCCTCTTTTTGCTACTCGGCGCTGCACTAATTCAACTGATAATTGCGCGGTCATGCAATGCTGCACCCAAACCAAATTTACGTCCTTTTTTTCACACAAATAGAGTTTTCTTTCGGGGTAATTTGATCACCTGTGCGCTTTTTATTTTTCACGCTATAAACAAAAAAAGACCAAAAATTTTGAAGAAAAACAATATTTTTTACTTTCAGCTATAAAAAATATATAGTAAACTCAAAGTTAGTTATAAATTTAAGCCAAAATGTATTCTGCTACTTGTTTTTGGTAAAAAAAATCCCAATAAGTGTATATTGATTGCTTTGTGTGACAGTTATAGCGTCTACAAACTATGGTATAAATACTGCAACTTACGCCATTTTTCTGCTATACAGCGCTGCGCTAGTTTAACGGACAATTGCGCGGTTATGCAATATGGTACATAAATGAAATTTACATCCTTTTCTCCCCACAAATTGAGCTTTCTTATTTGGTATTTGATCGCCTGTGCGGTTTTTATTTTTTGCGCTATAAAAAAAAAGGCTGACAATTTTGAGGAAAAAAAAAACAATATTTTGGACTTTTTGCTATAAAACGTGTCCAGTAAAAAAAAAATGCAAAAATCAAATTTAGTCATAAATTTCTGCCAAAATGCATTCTGCTCCATGTCTTTGCTAAAAAAAAACCCAATACGTGTAAATTAATTGGTTTACGTGAAAGTTATAGCGTTTACAAATGGCGGGAAAGATACTGGGATTTTTAGGGGTTTTTTTTATACTAATAATGTCAGCGATCAGTGACTTAGGGCAGCGACCAACGACTTATGGCCGGACTGCGGCAGACATTCTGACATTGGGGGGTACTGACTTGGGGTCATTGACATCCCCAAAAACACCAATACAGTGATCAGTGCAAAAAGAAAAAACACTGACACTGTACTAATGGCACTGGGGAGGAAGGGGTTAACTTTATTTTGCAGGGAAGGGTTATAGGAATGAGGGGGAGTGTTTTACTAGGGGGCGGGGGTGTGTGCTGCACGGGACACCGCTGATCGAGAGAAACTCTTCGGTCTCGATCAGCTCGTCCTCGAGCTGACAAGGAAGTGACAGACAGCACAGCTACTGCAGCTGTGCTCTCTGTCACTGTTTAGCGCCGATCGCCGGGAAAGAGCCACTAAGGACCGGCTGTGACCCGGCGACTGCCATCTGCGGCGATCGGCGGGACAGATAGGGCGGCGGCGCGACCCGTTTACAAAACACACGTTTTAAAACGTGGTTTTGCCTGCCAGTGCCGCCCTGCTGCCGTATTTCTACAGTGGCAGGGTGGCAAGTGGTTAAATTGCTCCCATTGTACCTGTACCCAACCCCTCCAACGCATCATGATGACCATACAGTGGCATAAGTTTCCATACTATTTATTTTTTCCTGACTCGGACCTACCAAAGCATGGCTTTCTGAGGAGCAGCCGACACACACAAATTTGTCTACTTTTGACTAATCACAATAAATACATTTTCTTTTATGTATTTATTTTCACACAAAAATTGTGATTTTCCTGAAAATAAAAGAAGTTTGTAGCCTCCCTAGCGGTCTGATTATGTCCATATTTCTGTGCTCAAAGCTGTAAATTTTTTTGCATGGAAATACATATTTTTTTTTTATTGTAGGCCTGTAATTTTTAGGAATAACTCACTGAAATCTGTCCGAACAAGAGTCTAGTAAACATTCCATGTAGGATAAAACTTGGAACACGAAATCATAATTTAAAAAAATTATCATAAAAAATAATATAATAAATTTAATTAAATGATTAAATAATATAATCAAACCAAAAACACTGAAATTTGAAATATAGCGCCAAGTTCGCACATCACTGAGCAAAGTTGAAAAATCGTTTTCAGTGTCTGATGACGAATTTCCCCACAAATAATTATCGCTCAATTCTGCAAGTGGTTCTGATTTACTATCACTGTTCTCTAGCCGGTCTAAAACCGCTTTTGACCTAAAGGGACGCTTTTTTGACGCCATGGACTTTTCTCAGTTTCAAGGCAGAAAGAACAATAAAAATGCAGGCAGGGCGCCGGACAAAGCACTCGGGACAAAATGTATGTGAAATGGTTTGATACAGTAATGTTTTACTATGTGATTTTAGTGAATGTCACTTTTAAAATTTTAAGACATTGCCAGGGAGACTGCAGGGGGGATATCGCGGGAGCGCAGAACAAGGTAAGTGCAGAAAAGATCCCGGAGCAACGCTGCAGGGTATTCCTGAGTGTAGCTCGAGGTTACCGCTTGTGGTGCTGAAACTTTACCCCGAGCTACACTCGGGAATACCTCCAGGGAGGTTAAACTTATGAACAATTCTAATCACATGTACTTAGGACCGTTTCACACCAGAACGCAGGACAGAAAACCCACGTTCTGTGAGCTTTTCCGGCACCGTATTAAAAACGCGCTGCAGTTGCGATCTGCCACTGGTGTCAATATTAAATTAATGACAGCCCAAGTGCAGGTCGCAAATGTAGTGAGTTTGTCTACACGGGATCATATGGTACAGAAGCACCAAGAAATGCAGTTGCAGTGAGTTTCCAAAAGTAGTGCATGCACTAATTTTGTTGCGGTGCGGCTTCAGCCCATTCAAAATGTGTATGTATGTGAATTGCACACAGCGTGTTCCTGTGCTATTCCTGGTGTGAACCGACCCTTTATGGGGTCTCTCCTAACACACAAAAAAAAATTATTATTGGGATTGTATGTCAAACAAGATCCAACAGTAGTTGTCATGTTCTATAGATCTCCTGTTCATGAATATTCATGCACGCATGATTGCACAAAGCTGCTGCTATCTTATCTACACAACAGTAGAGTGAGTCAAAAAGGTTTTCCATCTCAAAATCGATTGTTTCTGTACACTGCAAAATGAACCTTAGGATAAACTGAGGTCAGCTTAATCGACAGGGATGAACAGGTAACTTGTCTAGTAAAAGATTAATGAGACAAACAAAGCCTTGTATCTGAGTTCATGATGAGAACGCATTCGTGGCACATACCTGTGTAGAATCTGCCAAGTCAATACTGACCCTTTTACTGCTCGGCATTGGACATCACAAGACCTCTCAATTGACTGAATTAAAGAGAAGCTGTACTTTGCAGAATGAGGGTCAATTAATAGGTGGAATTTTTTTTACTTCAATAAACATAGTTCGTCAAGAAAACTATAACACCTTGCTGGAGAGAAATCTGTAATTTCTTTTGCGGTGCAAGGAAAAAGTAATATTTTGACAAAACAGGTTGCATTTTGACCATCTTAGAGATAAAGTGGTCAAAATCATCTGGCGAGTGCCTTTTCAGCTTCCTCAGCCTTTAAAAGTATGCAAAAAAAAAAACTTAAATGTTACTCATCAAATGGGAAACCAGTGCTTGATAAGATGCACACAACTATAATAATGAAATCAACTTCACTGAGTCTTTTCTTCATGCCAGAGTCCCCTCTTCATGACAGAGGTCCTACCATCACATCAGAGTCCCCATGTGACATCAAATGTCCCTTTATGACAGACCCCCATGACATCAGGGTACCAAACGACAGAGAACCCATCCATTACATCAGAGTCCCTCATCAGAATCCTCTGATCACAGAGCCACCTAAATCACACCAGAGCCCTATCTTTTGGTTCCAGCAGCGAGGAAGAAGGAAGGAGGTGGAACACGTCTTGAGGAAGCAAACTTCTATCCTCTCCTGAATGCTGGAGACAGCCATGCCTCCAGTCCTGGGTCAGCATCATGAGTTACCATGGTTGGGCAGGATGGCTGCTAACACCATAGCAATAAATGACGCTGTGCATCCTGCCCTAGAGCACCATTGGATGTAATGGTCCTGGCGGCCGACCTGCTAGCATCATGATGTTGATTGAGGGCAAACTGGGTCCTGTGCTTACAGCAGTCTGGGGAAATCCATACAGCATCCCAAGGTGCTGTGCCATCCCAACTGAGAAATACGGTCTTAGAGTGTGTACTGTGGTAGACACTGCACAAAATTGGTGGAAGACACAGAGGAGCGACTGAAAATAGTTTAAGCACATTTAGCACTGGGTGCTTTAATAATTTTTAACAGGACACTGAATTGGAAGACGATGAATTGTTTTCAGGATGGAGTTTTTATGGTAAGCAACATTTTTCTTGGACTTGTATATATGGTTATAACAGAACATGATTATTACAAACAATTCTAAAGTATCATTTGTGATAATTGTTGTTTGATGGTTTAGACACAGTTTACACATAGCACTTATTTAGTTTTCGAACAATAGAAGCGCAGGGCACTTACAGCTTTTCTTCTGCAGTGTGCGCAAAACCTCTGCCTATGTTCAAGTGTGCCACATTGGAAGAAGAGAAATTGTCTAGGGCCACATATAAAATTCACTAATAAGGATAGCTGATGAGCAGTTGCTCCTGAAGCTCAGCAGGTAGCCGCGGCCGCCATTCACTATAATGACAGGTCACTCGTGGCTGCACCTATTTGTGGCTCTCTGCACAGCCAGTGATCACCAGCAGTGATTGCTGCTGGACGAAAAGTGTGTCCAGCAGTGATCATGCAGTTAATCTTTGGCGTAGAGAGCCACAAATAGGTGCAGCTGCTGGTCAAGCAGCCACACCTATCCGCTGAGAGCCACAGGAGGAACTGCTGCTACAATTCATACCGGCCCTAATCGCTGGTGTGAATGTAGCCTATGTATGTGCTGTGTGGGATGGTGGGGGGGTTGTGGGCCCATGCACATTACTGAACAGGTGGATGCCTGATTAGGGGAGGAGAGCAATTCTCCATTTATAAGTAGAAAAAAAAAAGTATGTAGGATCTTTATTTGTACATGTATACTTTACAAATTAAAAGTTAGGTTGAAAAAAAAAAAAAAGTCCTGCTGCAAAGTTAACATAATGTGCTAGTATGCACTGCATACTAGCACATTATGATTGACTCTATAAAAGTGATCCGTCCAGCGGTGTGCTGTCATTGCTGACAGGACTTCCATCTTCACCCGGTCTTCCTTCCAAGTTGAACAGCCATACCGTGATGAAGTTACTTCCACACATGAGCCCAGGAGCCACAACTGCAGCACAGTGCTCCATTGAGAGTGCAGAACATATGCACCGGCGACGTCACCAGCTACTATAGATATGAATATCTGCCAAGCAGTGCACATTTAGGAGATATCCACTGTACCTACAGATAAAATTTATCATAGGGTTTACCTGTAAGTACAAGTGACCAAGCGGTGTTTACTACCACTTTATGTCAAAAATGTTCTGTCCCGTTAGTATGAGCCATATGTGCATGAATGTTTCCTCCTCTCTTCTGACTCTTCGACTGTATGGCTTTATTTTTACTTTATTGGCTATTTTGCACAAAGTCATACTTTGTGCAACGATGCAAAAAGTTAAAAAATTGTGTAAATGTCACACTTTATGCTCATGTGCAAGGAGCTTAAGAAAAGTGTCCAACCCTAAAAAAAAGTCTGCTAGCTCACCATAGAGATAGACCACACAGAGTAAAACGTCATTGGAGAGGCTTAGACCTTACAAAAGGGCAGTCAATGGGCTCCTCACCTGAGACTGGAGTGACTGGCAGGCCTCCACTCCTGCCAAGTTGCATTGTCTCCTCTGCAGGTTCTCTACCATGATCTGTCCAAAGCGGTCTGCCATGTTGACCTGGTCAGTAGAAGAACAGAGGTTAACAGAAATTTCTTATCACGGTCTTGCTCTTAAAATCATCAAATAAAACCTTAGTCTGTTCCCGTCAAATGATTGACATCTCGTAAACGGTCATATTCCCATCCTGCCAGCTGAATCAGGTCCAGGAAGTCTGGCGTTTATAGGAGAAGCAGGCAAATACAATATTCTACAACTCTTGAATATTTCCCATTTTGTCAGCTCAGTCACAGGGCGCCTTCCTGGCCGAACGATTACTTCTAGTGGCTATAGTCGTAGGCAGTAATCGTATATAAAAAAATCTAGCTGGTTGCATGTACCCCAGTTGATTAACTTGGGTGCAATCAGCCTGCCTATACATGAATCGAAATGCAGCCAGTTCAGCAGGGACTGGCCAAGATTCCATTCATGTATGGCCAGCTTTAATGGTTTACCTTTTTCACAATTAATCTTCAACACCCCAAGAGCAGTCAGATAGAAGGGAAGTGAGGGGTTTGCTGCTGCCATAAACATGAAATGGTCACAAATGCTAAACAATGTTCATTTATTTTCTAAACAGGCAAGTAACAGACTGCAAAGTTAAGAACATCACAATTCTCTACCTGTTCATAGTTTACGAACATGGCTGTGGGGAAGGTGTCAGCTGCCCATCTCAGGAGGTTGGCAGACTTCTCAGGGGTCATGTAAACCAGCACGCACTCCGCCACAAGCAGTGTTGGTAGCCTGGAAATAAAGACAAAAATGAAGATTTCACATAAAAATCAACACAACCTGGCCAAAAAGAAATTCCGATTGAAAGGGAGTGTGTAAAAGATTAATTGGTAAGTCAGTAGAGTTCATACAATCATAGCTGTAAAAGGTTGGTAACCAACATGTTTGAGGGTTTTGATCATTTCCCCTCTTCTATTCTCTGTGCGTGTCACAGTTTATGTGTGGCTAGTCTCTGTGAACACAATTTGAGGTGCATCAGTAAAACCTGAAGAACCCCAAAATGTGTTGATTGCCAACTTTTAATAAATATAACTGTTGGGATTTAACGGATTCACCGATTCATCTTTTAGGCACTCCACTTCTTTCTACACATTCACTTAATGTCTCTCAACGCAAAAAGGGTAACTGTAGTCAAGCAGCAGATTTTTTGTAAGATTTTTAGTTGCTTCAAAAAATAAATAAATAAGTAATACCCCCCCACCCCCTCTTCTTCACACCATCAAGATATCCAAACTATATTTAGATCCAGCACCACTCCCAACCAAGTTGTTCTAAAAACTGATGTGAATGGACAGATCATTAGAATTACAACAATTTTCAAGAGGACTCGAATTTTAATATTTTTATCACACAAAAAAATAAAATACAAGCCATGTACATGTTACTACACAGATACCATCCACTGTATGACAATTTAACTGCCCTACTAAAACTCCCTAACAACTTATAACTGCTAAATCCAATGGCCACTACTCTGTACGGTATATTATTAGACCTTCTTCTGCCTTTGATACAGCTGACCACTTGTTTTTCCTCAAAAAACTCAATTCCTTCCCTTGGACTCCAGAACTTTGCTCTTTCCTGGTTCTCTACCCATCCAATCGTTGATTTTAGGCTCCATCCTTGGATCCTTTCCATTCCCTATCTACACCTCTTTTTTTTGGTCAGCTGATAACCACCCATGGCTTCCAATACCACCTCTATACTGATGACAACCAAATCTACCTCTCTACTCTACCCTTCAGTCACCTCACGCATCACTAATTTACTGACATATGAGTATGGATATCACACCCCTTCTTAAAACAAAATATTTCACTAACGGAGTTCATAATATTACGCCCCACTTCCCCCATGCCCCCGCCGCTGACTTTGTTACTGAGATCACAACTATCAGTCCCATCCCCCCAGGCCAGGGTGCTTGCTTTAATCCTGGATTCAGATCTCTCTTCTCAGCCACATATCCAATCACTGTCGAAATCCTGCCACCTTAACCTCGGTACTAGAATTACTGCCCTTGATCTGATATTCGTGGTGATATCTCACATGTGTGGTGGGATCGCTGTTTATATACAAACGTGTGGATTCGCCTTTGCAGACAAGCATGTGGGGAGTGGGGCGCTTTTGTTTTTGTTTTTTTTTACACTGCTCTTGTACATTTGTTATCACTTTCATAGTTATCACAGGGAATATAAATATCCCCTACGATCGCAATAGGAAGTGACAGATCCGCTTTACTGAAAAATCTGACATCTATTAGAACCCAGATCACTCCTCTGCCCTTCAAAGCTTGAGATCACATGGTCTGATGTGGTTTTCAAACCCCTAAGAGTTTGTTTTCATTAGGCAAAACCGGAGGTGATGAAATGCTCATCACTTTGTTTCTCAGACCATAGAGATGGTCTGAGCTGTTCCGGTGTCCGACCAGTTCTATGGTCAGCCGGTGGTTCTGGTTTTGGCCGGCTGAACACTCTGGTTTCTCGGTGGGAAGGTGGGGGAGACATCCCATCCCGCTGCTTGTAAAAGCAATCCAGCAGCCAATTAGCTGCTAGAATTGTTTTTACAAGAAAGCCAACTGCTGGCTGGAAAAAAGCAATACCTGCAGCTGTGTGCATCATCCCAATATAACCCCTGCAACTGAAGGATGTACAGGGACGTCCTTGGGAGACAAGTGGTTAAACTGCCTATGCCATTCAATAAACACTTGATTTCTTCATGGAATGTTGAACATAAGCCTGCTGGAAGGGAGCTAAAGTGTCACCAAATTCCTGTCCCTCATTTTCCACTAACAGTGGCACACACACGTGTTATTTCTTCTACTGCTTAAACAGAGTAAACTGGTCTGCGACCCAAGCGAGTGAAAGTCAGAACACACTTGAGTGCAAACGGCTGCGTGACACACCACCATAGTGCTATGCCCCAGGCCTTCCGGAAGCTGAACTGTCACACCTCGTAGACTAAGCACAGGTTCACATTAGGGTAACATTAAGGTATATTGTCTGTGGGAAATTCTGGGTTTCCTTTTTAAATAAACACCTTACTGTGGGTCCATGCCAACTTTCTTTAGCTTCTCCTCCATGTCCTTCAGGTTTCTCAGATCTGCCCCAATGATAGAGTATCGGGAGGAGTCAAGGCTGTGAGCATCTATAGAAAAAAAAAAAAAAATCAAACAAAAGTATCTGTACAAGTGTTTTAAGACTAGCCACAGACTGGCAATAATCTGTTATGCAGCTGAAATCTATAACCCACAAGATCTTTCAGTGCCTCTGCCTATGTTGGAGGAGGCCATACATACACACGCCTGTCCAGGAGCATTAAATTACTCAGTAACAGGGGCGGACTGACAACTCATGGGGCCCCCGGGCAATAGGGGATCATGGGGCCCCTGTGTCCTTGCCCAAACTCAAAAAAGCCTATGAAAAAGGTACCAGGGGCATCTCATAGGGCCCCCTACTGACCCCAGGCCCTCGGACAGTGCCCGAGTTTCCAAATGGTTAGTCCGCCCCTGCTCTGTAACCATGCAAAAGCAAATTACTTTCTATGGTGACAACAGAAAGAGAAAAGCACCAATCTTTACCAGGGTGAGTGAAATAGGATTTGCCTTGCCTGTATATTTCACCCAGACCAACTTGCATTCTAACCGTTTATCTACTTTTTGACAATTCTTTAATGGATGTCTCCATTGCCGCTCAGCAACTGGTATCATGTTGTTCCTCTACGAGGACAGTTCAGCACTGGTTCTAATGTAGATCTGTGCAGTCCCTGTTTTCTCTGAATCCATCCAAGTTTTATCCTGTGTTGAGCCCTGATGAAGGGGGAGTGAAGTTGCTCCTGAAATGCACTGGCTAAATTTCTAAAACAATTAAAATGATCTTGGATTATTATGTGGTGTTGGTCTGGCGCTCCTTTCTGATTTCTATGGTTTCAGCTACTGCTGGGTGCCCATCGAAGGAATCCTTGCTGCGTGGACACTGCCTCTCAAGAGCTAGAGAACTTGTTTAAAGTTTTCCTTCACCTAATTAGATCTGCAAGTATAATTTGCAAAGTTATATCCTTGTGATCAAGCCAGTCTGGTGAAATGAGTTAAGGAGGAACAGTCCAGGGCGGGGATTATGAGAGTATGCAACCATCCTATCAAATGTTTCAATAAACACCTTTTTTGCATGGAGATTGATGTGTTTTTTCCTTTCATTAGATCTATGATCTAGTCTACTGAACTGTCAGTCACCGCTCTGCCCCTCTGGAGAGGGTGACTGAGCAGCATGCTTGGAGGCTGAGCCAGCTGCCACACAGCCATCTGGGTGGATACCGACATTATTGTTAGGATCCTTCCAGAGCTCTGTGACATTAGCTGACAGAACAAACATAAAATGTATTTGCTTTCAATGCAACTCACAGGACGTGGCAATGGCACTGCATTTTTGACAGGATCAACTATTATGCAGATGATCCGGTATCTAGGACATACTAGTCACACCAGTAAATCTCCAAAAACATATATAATATCTACTGTAATAATATCACCCCAAACCATCCTCTGTTCCTACCAAGACCTCCTGCTCTCAAGCTCTAGATTCCTCCTACCCATGCTCGTCTTCAGGACTCTTTTAGAGCCTCTTCCATCCTCTGGAACTCTCTACCTTCAGGTGATCCCTAAAGAGATGAGCTTTCAGGGAAGTCTATCACAGTTCCAACTAACTGAACTTTTTTCGCTTCCATCAACTCACGCCCCACTGTTAAAACCTTTTGCACCACTTGCCCCACCCTATTAGATTGAAAGTCCTCTTAACACTCGTGTATCTTATTGTATTGTAACTGTATTGCCTCCCTTTAGATTGTAAAGCGGTGCGCAAACTGTTGGCGTTACAGAAAGGCTGTATAATAATAATAATAATAAAAGAGCACCACAGTGGCTAAGTGGTTAGCACTTCTACGCAGCAGCACCTAAGATTGTAAGCTTCTTGATAGCAGGGACTGATGTGAACATAGAATATATATGTAAAGCGCTGCATACATTGACGGCGCTATACAAGTATCTGAAATAATAAATAGTAATAATACAGCCACTACTACATGGTGTCTGCAACAATGTGTCTCCTTTATAATTCAGATGTATAACATACTGGCCATTACCAGACTTCCAGTCTGAGGCTTGACACGTGGGGGAGATTTACTAAAGCTAGTTCACTCAGTATCTCGTGCACCTGTCCATAGTGATCAATCAGCTTCTAACCTCAGTTTGTTCAATTAGGCTTTGGCAATAAAACCTGGAAGCTGATTGGTTTCCATGCAGAAGAGCACGAGATTCTGAGTGAACCAGCTTTAGTAAATAAACCCCATATCGTCATCATGGTCACATGGACTGCCAGCCTCAGACTACATCTCCCATCATGCATTGTGTAGTCATTCAGCAATGCAGACGTGTGCCCCCACATTCTGCGTTACGTTGCTAGTACCTCCTTCAATGATTTGGGCAGTGCTGTAGCGAAAGCAGTTTGCTGGCTTAATAGGAGGAGAAGATGGAAGGAGGTTTTACGTGTTTGCATTGATTGCATACTATTGCAGCGCAGCATATGAAGGTGCTGAGAGGGATGACTATGTTAGTTTACTATAGGAACACTTAGAAAGGACGTGCTAGAACCATACTTTTGAAATTCATCATCTAGAAACACTCAAAGATAACCTTACCAACATATCCCTTTGCAACTTGTATGTCTCTGCTGTGATGATAGCCTGTCTGCTCGGAGTCTATTGTAAAATGCCTTCTGTGTCACTTTATGGAAATGCAAATCATATTTTTATTTCTAGCATAGCTTTAGTGTCGCTTGAAACTGCCAAAAAATTAATACATTAGTATTGAGTGCAATTACCCTTTAGAATGTTTAATTTCACTGTTCTTTATTGCACTGCTTTCTTATTATATATTCACGCGGCGTGTGTGTTATTACACTTAAGTATACTAATATTGGTGCAATATACTTCTAAAACCGGGAAAAATATATTTCCACCCATACAGACAACAAACAAGTGGTACACAAATAACAATGTGGCTTTTTGAACCTACAATTTTAGGGTAGAAAAAAAAAAAAAAAAAGTTGACAGTTGAGCAAAGTGCATGGTCCCTGGAGCAATTTACACCTTTCCCCTTGATATGAGCCTTTTACAATGGGCCAATTTAAGTAGATAAAGTAAATGGTGAAGTTTACGGTTTACGAGCAGCCATAATCAGTTATACAGTGTTGTGCACTATTGGCCATCTATAAAGGTAGAAAGTTTAGTGTGAAAGCAACACTTGACTTACTCAAGACTGAATATGAAAGCTTTTAAAACATGTTATAATAGAACAATCATCAAATTTTATCCTCCTCCAAAAAAAATGTGCCAAAACCCTGAAAAACGGCCGACCAATTAACCCAGTAACGGTGTGAAAATCTGCCAATTTTTTTTTTTTTCGGCTGAAAAATTGGCCGATTTTCGACCCGTCTATGACCTGCATTAGGCTGCTTATAACACACCAGAAAAAAAAAAAAAACATGTACTTATGGAAGAAGTGCCAGATGAATGGATAAAAGAGTCCAAATTCATTTATTGCTCACTCAGATTCTGCTGGCCAGTAACTCTCCTGATCCAGCAATTAGCTGCCTACAAAGATTCACTCAGGAAGCTCTATTTTGAGTCCATTCAAGGTGCTTAAGTGAATGCCTGATGAAGGCGGAGATTTTCTGACCCCCCCTAATGCATTGGCATTTTTTTTTTGTATATACTATAAAAATTAATTTGGACTCTCTTATCTTTTCGTCTGGCGCTCCTTCCATTAGTGCATTTTTTTTTTTTTTTTTAAACATATGAATTTGGTGAAAACATACATAATACAGACGCCCTCGCAGGGGGCATTTTTTTTTCCTAGTATCTTTTTTCATGACAGCTATACTAATGTACACACCTATTAGCAGAGAGTCTCCATTGTGGGTTTCCATTATTGGCTTGGAGAGAGGTGGTTTGGACCTATTAAAATAAAAACAAAAATTAAAAGCAGTCAGAAGTTTTCATTTCCAGTTGATGCGGTCCTGATTGGATATTGTGTGTTAGCAGAGAAAAATGACGTTGAAACAACACAGGGCTGTGCCAAGCATTAGATCTTTGTTGAAGTCTGTTTGCATGGCATTGGTGTAAATCCTACAAGCCAGTATATGGCAAAGAATCACTTGAACTATAGATGTGCATGCATCTATAGAGGCATGGCTTTGTGGGCGGCACAATGGCTTAGTGGTTAGCACGTCTGCCTTGCAGTAAATGGGTTATGGGTTCGATTCCCGACCATGGCGCCTCCTGCATGGAGTTTGCATGTTCTCCCTGTGCTTGCGTGGGTTTCCTCCGGGTGCTCCGGTTTCCTCCCACACTCCAAAGACATGCTGGTAGGTTAATTGGATCCTGTCTAAATTGGCCCGAATATGTATATGTATGAATGTAAGTTAGGGACCTTAGATTGTACACCCCTTGAGCGTTAGGGACTGATGTGAATGTTCAATATATATGTATAAAAGCGCTGCGTAAATTGACAGCGCTATATAAGTACCTAAAATAAATAAATACATTGGTGGCACTGGTAGTGATCCTTTAAGGATCACTAGTATTCTCATATACAGCTGATAATGGTAATGTTCACATATAGGTTTAGATTACGTTTAAGGGCCAGGCGTAGGAATATCTTTAGAGTAAAGTTAAATTTCTCTTGACATCAGCGTCCTGTAAATCCCTGAACAGCAGTGCTGGGAGAAAGCAGATCACCTTTATTGGTTGCATAGTTCTGTCAGTTTATCACAGGAAAAAAAAAAAAAAGAGAGAGGGAGAAGCACAGAGATGACCCCATCAATATGCTGCTGCCAGTTCACTGTTCAATCACAGGCTGGGACCAGGCTTTATTCCTTAACAGCAGTGTAGTCTCAACAAAGGTCAACGACCTGGCTGTGCTGTCTGTACAGATGCCTGGATCACATGACTAGCTGAAAAAGAACTGCAAATCCTTAGCCAAGTAAAACAATACAGTACATATTTCAACTGTGCATTTGGCTTTTTGCTTTGAATTCTGCTTCAAGCATCAGGTGGAGGTATGAGGTTAAGTTATGGCTAAACTTGTTTACTTATAGATCAGAGTGCCTGTCTCTGTGCACAAATTTCCCCATCAGGTCTGACGGACAGCAGATAGTGGGCAGATTCCATAGCCATAGCAGGCTCTCTATTGGCTATGAAATTCAACCACTGCCAATCACATGATGGAGAACGAGTGAGAATCTCTGAATCCCCATCAGGCATCCACCCAGATGCAAAACGCCTCGGCTGCAGCGCTTTCTGTACTTTCGGCTTTCGGCTGCAGCAGCCATTATCTATATGGACACTCCGGCCTCAGCACACCTCTGCATGACAATTATCAGTGCTTGCTTCAAATTCATGTACTTATTTCCAACAGGTACATGAATTTGGCCAAGCCCCAATATTTGTCATGTGGAGGCATGGCAGAATTCTGGTTCCTGATCTAGACACTTGTTAGGAATTCCCCAGAGTGTCTTTCTTCAGCCTTTCTATCTCCAGTCTCACCATGCCTTACATAGCTATCATCTCCTAGATTGTAAGCTCAAAAGAGCAGGGCCCTCGATCCCCTCATGTTTTGCATTGTATTGGTATTGTTCTGTCACATGTTCTGTCCCCCTTTGTAATGTACAGCGCTGAGCGAACTATTGGCGCTTTATAAATACTGTATAATAATAATAATAATTGCTAGTGTGGTAGAAAGAGTAGCAAGTTGACAGGAATAGGGGATAAACGGGGCACAAGACAGCTAGACTAGGGGTGAAGGAAGTGGATGCCCAGCTGATGGCAGATCACATTATACCCACAAGGCACTTTTATTAATATATAAAAATAAGCGAATCCCTCCATACCTACATACATTTTAGTAAACAAAGTATCTTAACGTATTTCAATCCGTTTACAGAGGTAAACAGTAAAACCCTCTTACTTTATGTTGTAGAGCTTTCGTGCAACTATTGCAGGGAAATCCACTTCAAAATATTTCTTGGGTAGGAGATTTTCATCCTGGAATGATAACACAATAAGCTCTTTACTGCATATTGAAAGTCATTTTTTTAAATAGAATTTCTACCACTGAACCACCCCAAAGTTTAACCCCTTCACACCAATGGTACGCAAATTGGCACTGGGCTTTACGCCGTGGGGCCGCTAATTAGCGTACCCGTCTTTGCCACAGGGTGTTCTCCCATCACAGAGACCGGGGTCTCACCGAGAGCCCGGGTCCCGTTCTAACGATTGGGACCCAGAACTCTATCACAGTCACTGTGAAGCCCATCCTCAGGTTTGCTCTCTCTGAATGGAGGAGAGAGATGCGCTGTATCGCTTTCTGTACTTTCAGAGAGAAAAACAAACACGTGTGTGTATAATAAATAAAAAGTAATAAAAAAATTGAATTAAAAAATACTTGAGCCAGTGTTAGTATTTGAGTCAAGGTCAGGGTCAGCATTTTTTTTTTTAGTCAGGATTTTTTTTTTTTAAATTTTTAAATTCGTATCAGTGTCAGGATAAAGAAAAAAAGTAAAATATGCACTATTGTTTCTGGGCCATACTACAGGTACAAACAACAACTAACAAGCACGCGTGGTATCACTGTCATTGTTAGGAGCAGGAGAAATTATTTTGGGTTGTTCTTTGGTGGTAGGTTATGGTAGTAGAAAAATATACAGCTACATTTAAAAAAAAAATATTTTTTTACTATTTTGGGCCAGATTTACTTTGATAATAGAAAAAATTATTAATAAAAAAAAAAAAAAACTGAAAATATCTATTACCATTTACCACCAAATGAAAGCCCAATTTGTAGTGGAAAAAAAAAAAAAAGCGGTATAATCCACCTGGATACACAAAGTAGTTGTGATGATATGTAGGGTTTTGCTAACACATGTCAAAGTTGCAAAATTGTGCTTCGGCGTTAAGATTTGTTTTACCCTTAGGCGTGAAGGGGTTAAAGAAGATGAGACAGTTTGCCAATTATTTTTCTGCTTTTTAAGTCTAATCAACCATACTCGAAGCAGATGAGACAAAAGGGTTACTGCACCACTGGACTGCTGAAATGCAATTTCACTGTATCGTGGCAAACAGGATTACATATTTCACACTGCTTACAGACCTTTTCCAAAGAGCAGAGAAAAACACGTAAAAAGTATTTAACTTCCACTGCCACCACTGTAACAACTACGTTGGGAGTAATAGCTGCTACAGCAGACAGGAAATTGTTGATTTTTTTGCTCCTGGTTGCTGGCTTTCAAGTAAAGCGATCCAGGCAGCTGTAACTTTCGTCCCACCACATGTCCCAAACTTACCTGTCCATCCTGGGTGCCCGAGATCATCACTGCAGGTGTCAGAATGGAGAGCATCAGGAGACCAGTGAACATCTGTTCTCTAATCTCTCCTGTAAAGAATGAGCTCCGGAACGTCAGGGTTCAGAGCTAATAACCAACACACTACCAATGTTTAAATTCCTACATTCTCGCTTATTTCCAAGACTCGGCAGATGTTGGGCACTCATCCCCAGTGTGTTTCCGATTTAAAGACCAGATATGGACAGTCTCTTCAGTGGCACATCCCCACCAGGATGGTAAGCTCCTTTCCATCTCATATTCTGGACTACAACAAAATGGCCACCAAGCCCCCTTTTTTTTTTTTTAAGAACAATTAAAAAGATCATCACTCGGAGGTGTCCTCTTAACAAAACGCCTTAGGGTACTATGTCTATATACCTCTTGGGCTAAGTAACACGCTTGGGGGTAAGGGGAGGCACACGTGTGTATGAGTGTGTGTATATAATAGAATGTAAGCTAGTGTACTATTTGTTTTGCCTCTGAACCTGGCCGCACAATGCAACTACGTGCATCACCTAATTATGTATTCAGTGTTCCATTTTTACTGTACAGTTATTTGCTCGGTAGCGGTAAGCTGTTTTGTACTCAATATACTCTATTTTCCCTATGCAAAAAAAAAAAAAAAATTGGAAATAAACCCCTTAAAAGAAAAAAAAAAAAAAAAAAAAAAAAAAAAAGTTTGTTGTAGCCCAAATCCTGAAAATAAGTCAGGATGTGAGAATAAAAAGCCATTGGCTCCTGCTGCTGTCAATCAAATCCAGTGAAGAGGATGTAGGGTGAGGAGCTAAGTCCCACTGTATGAGTCTATGGAGCACGGCTCCATGGACACAGCTCAGGAGCAAGCAGACATTATGTGCCTCCATAGGAAATGGCTTGCTATGGGGACACACTAAGAAGAGGAGGAGCCAAGTTCGCCAGCAGGGGACCCAAGAAGAGGAGGATCGGGGCTGCTCTGTGCAATACTACTGCACAGAGCAGGTGAGTATTGCATGTTTGTCATTTTAATTAAAAAACGCACAGTAAATTTTAAACTACTGGGACCTCTTCTCTGCAAGGGCCAGTTTATGTTAAAGTAAACTGAGCCTTTAAAAGAAAAAAAAAAAGAAAAAAAAAAAGAAGTTTAAAAATAAATTTTAACCACTTCCAGTCTGGACACTTTTACCCCCTTCCTGACCAGGGCAATTTTCAGCTTTCAGCACTATCACACTTTGAATGACAATTGCGCGGTCATGCAACACTGTACCCAAATGAATTTTTTACCATTTTTTGGAGACAGATAAAGCTTTATTTTGGTGGTATTTATTCACCGCTGGGATTTTAATTTTTTTTGCTATGTAAATGAAAATGTCCAAAAATTTTGAAAAAAAGTGTTTTTTTAAATAAAATTTTGCAAAGAAATAATATTTCATCATAAATCTTGGCCAAAATTTATTCCGTTATCTTTTTAGTAAAAAAAAAAAAAAAAATACAAATTAGTTTATAACCAAAAATTATAATTTTTAAACATTTTGTTTTACTGTCACCCTAGCAGTACAGTGTCACCATGGTGACACTGTACTACTTGTGGGGGGTGATGAAGATTTTTTTTTTTTTTTTTACACTGATTGCTTTTACACCCATATAGGATGTAAAAGCAATCATTTCTCCTTCTCTGTGGCTGCATTCTTGCAGTCATTGAGAAGTACTGAGTGAGCTGTGATTGGTCACAGCTTGTCACATGGTACAAGGCTGTTGTGAATAGCCTTGTACCATGTGACCTTTGTGATCATTCACAGATTTCACACGTAGTAAGCAATGATGTCAGAATTTACATCTTGCTTACTACTTTGCATGTGATCACTGATTGGCCAATCAGTGATCACATGATCGGGACCTCGTACAGAGGTCCCGTCCGATGCTCGGTGTTTCACTGTGTCCGGAGGACACAGCGGGCACTAGATCGTGGTGCTGTGCGCTCCCAGGGAGCGCGCACAAGCATGGTGTGGGGAGGCAATTTATAAACGTCCACCCGACCCTGCACTGCCGCCATCCGGCCGTTTATATACAACGGCCGGTCGGGAAGTGGTTAATAAAATACATTTAAAAATTTTTTTAAAGCCCCTGCCTCCCTACTTACACACACACAGATGTAAATGTGAACACTGTGTGCAAAAAAAAAATAATGGATGTACCACATGCATATTAGGTATCGCCTTGCATGCTGGATTGAGATCAATAATATTTGGGGCATTATTAAACTGATTAGTTCTACAAGCTTTTAAAGGGTGGCCTATGCCCAAGTTTGGGTATTCCAGTTTTTCACCATTTCACAGGCACATACAATTTTGAGCCTTGAAATATTTATTACCCGAGTGCAATCTACCATATTCTGTCTTGGGTGCTGAATATATTTATCTCATGTAGCTGGGACACTGGCACTCGCTTCTCTACTTGGATATCTCCCTTGAAAAACATGAAGTAAGCAGGAATAGAGTTGTTTAAAGAATATGTTCACCTTTAGACAAAAAATAATAAATGCACTTTTTTTTTTTTACAGGTACAAAAAATGTGCATTTATTTTTTGTTTTGGGAGCCTGTAAAGCATTGCACCAGCAATCAGCAGATCGCTGGTGCCATGCAGGTCTCCTGCAGATATATCAGTACATCTGCTTGCTGTATGGGATGTACAAGCAAGCAAATATACTCATGAGAAGAATTAGTGAACAGCGTCCTGGTAGTTCATTGAGAACTACAAGCCGACAGCCTCTAAAGCTGTCGGAACTTGTAGTTTCTCATTCACAAAATCCAGGGAATTATTTTTTTTTTTTTTTTACAGCTAGCGAGGGGGAAGAAGATCCCCCGCTAGCTGTCAAAGTAGGGGAGTGGGGGCCGGTGCATTCATAATGTGTTACATCCTGAATATGGGTGTAACAAGTTGTGAAAGTTGAACTTATCCTTTAAGTACTGTCTCTGTCACGGACCTGCAATGCAGATTAGCAGTTCTAGTTTTATTCTGACTTGGCTGCTGCCTGCCTGTTCCAGGGCAGGGACATTGAGCCTCATATTCTTCCTGTTATACATACAGCAGAAATGGGTACTTTAGAAAGACTTAATGTCAGACTCTAGTGAAGCATTGGATTGTCTCTGTTTGGTGCAACTGGCCTTTTGAACTTTTGATGCGTTAGAACTTACCTTTAACCTCCAGAAAGTTGTGTCTAGCCCCGCCCCAAGGTTAATGACTTGACAATTGCATTCAGTCCTCTTTAGAAAGGCACGGAGTAGTTGGCCGACACCCTGCACCCGGGCATAGTACCCTAAGAACAGCAAAAGACAAACCAATGAAGATTTATTCAAATGCTTATAGTTCACCTTCAAAAACATACTGAGAACTACAGAACAGGAACTGCAGTGCCACCTATTGATAAAAAAGGGTATTTATGTGAAAACCTGCAAGGCTGCTTGTTTCTCAGTAAAATATACGTACTTCTCTTGATTAGGATTAACTTCAATGAAAAATGGCAGCTTAAACCTAGAGATGGGTGTAGGAAGCACGGATACTCTGCTCAGTTCTTTAGTTTTCCTTCCAGCCATAGCTGTTGCAGTTCACTGTAGTCATTTTGTCAATCTGGTGACCCCTAAAGGAGAGGTATTCCGAAACAAACCCAAGACATACTCCATGCTGTCCCATTGGCTCCTGCTGCTGTCATTCAAAGGCAGTGAGGAGAAAGCAAGGGGTGGGGGGGGGGGCACTAAGCTCCACTGTGTGCGTCTATGGAGAATGGCTCTATAGACACACACAGCACTGGAGCAAGCAAGCGGCTTACTATTGGACCGACAAAGAAGAGGAGATAAAATCATCAACCGAGGGAGGTACTGGGCTGCTTTCCGCTTTGTGCGATACTACAGAGCAGATGAATATAACATGTTTATTATTATAATGAAAAAAACATTTTTATCTTTAGCAACACTTCAATCCATTATTATTACTTTACATAAATATATTGTACATTCACATCAGTCCCTAACCCTCAAGGGGTGTACAATCTAAGGTCCCTAACTCACATTCATACATACACATACTAGGGACAATTTAGACGGGAGCCAATTAACCTACCAGCATGTCTTTGGAGTGTGGGAGGAAACCGGAGTACCCAGAGGAAACCCACGCAGGCACAGGGAGAACATGCAAACTCCAAGCAGGTGATGCCGTGGTTGGGATTTGAACCAACGAACCCTAGTACTGCCAGGTGGAAGTGCTAACCATTTATTACAGTTTGTAGGAAGAACTGGGTGCGATGTACACACCAGACAAGTATTTTGGGTGCATGAGATTGGTGCGCCGAATATCAGCTGGTTCAGCAGAAACTGGCTGACATTCATCCGGCATGTACAGTACCCTCTCTCACTTCTGTGGTATTCATTCAGAAAATACAAAGCTCTCTGTGAGTGGCTGAGTAACCGTCAACTCGATCTTGTTCCAGGAGTGGGAACATCCCACTGCCAGAACACAGCGCTGTATAGCCCTGGCCAAAAGTTGTAAGAAAGTCACAAGTATTCATTTTCACAAAGTCTGCTGCTTCAGTGTTTTTAGATCTTTTTGTTACTATGGTATACTGAAGGATATTTACAAGCATTTCATAAGTGTCAAAGGCTTTAATTGGCAATTACATCAACCACTTGCCCTCCTGAGGATTTACCCCCCTTCCTGACCAGGCTAATTTTTGCGTTACGGCGCTGTGTTATTTTAACTGAAAATTGCACGCTCATGCAATGCTGCACCCCAAATGAAATTTAGTCTCTTTTCTCCCCACAAATTGAGCTTCCTTTTGGTGGTATTTGACTGCCGTTGTGTTTTTTATTTTTTTGCGCTATAAGAAAAAAAAAAAACCTACAATTTTGAAGAAAAAAAAAAAAAAAAAACACCCTATATTTTTTACTTTCTGCTATTAAACATGTCCAGTAAAAAACATTTTAAAAATCAAATTTCGCCATAACTCACGCCAAAATGTATTCTGCTCCATGTCTTTGCTAAAAAAAAAATCCCAATACGTGTTTACAAATGGTCGTATATATATACTGGGATTTTTTATTTTTACTAGTAATGGCAGCGATCAGCGACTTATAGCGGGACACTGGGGGGGGGGAAATGACTTGGCGTTACTGACATCCCCAGTGACACCAATACAGTGATCAGTGCTAAAAAAAGCACTGACACTGTACTAATGGCACTGGGGAGGAAGAGGGTAACATGAGGGACGATCAAAGGGTTAAAACAGAGTTCCACTTACTCTGTAAAAAAAATAAAAGTCAGCAGCTACAAAAACTGTTTCACAGGCCGTCTTGTATTCCAGGAGGCCGGCATCTTCAGTGTGGGCACCCGGCTCTGACAGCTTGCAGCTTCACAGCCGGGTGCCCACTGTGCATGCGTGAGTAGCGCTGCGCTTCCTGAACGGCCCCGTCCTCTTCTGGGACCTGTCACGTGTCCCACAAGACTTCGGGGAGGGAGGGAAGGAGGACAACTTCCGCTTCCGATCGCCTAGGCGATTGCAGTGGAAGTGGGAGCGGGTACCTGTCAAGTTTGGGTAACCGTGTCTACCCCCCCCCCCCCACACTCCCCAAAGGTGCCAATCCTTAATAGGGAGCAGGGGACCAATCTTTAAAGCGGAACGTCCACTTTTGGGTGGAACTCCGCTTTAACTATGTGCAGGGAGTGTTTTTACTGGGGGGGCGGTGTGTTGGTGCTTCACTGCAAGCACACTCCAGAGCAGTGTGTCTAAGCCGACAGGGAGGAGGACTGTTAGTAAACAAAGTAGCCTCCTCCCCGTCGAAGATCCTCGGTAATCACCAGGCGCCGGCAGGTAATCACCGGACGGGCAGAAGCGTTAACTCTCCAGCGCCTCGAGGGAGCCAATGCCAGGGGGAGGCCAGGGGATCAGGTTTGTGAATGACCTACGGATAAAGTTCCAGAGATGCAGCCCTCCTCAGATAGGGAAGTCAACAAACTGGAAGAGAGCATACAGGTGGTGCAAACCTTTTTAATAAATCTTGGATAATACTCCAGGAGTTTGCGCCACCTGTATGGCTTTACTACCAGTTTAAGACAAAAGGGGGAGATTTACTAACAATGAAGCACACAGAATCTGGTGCAGCTGTGCATAATAACCAATCAGCTTCTAACTTCAATTTGTTCCCATAAGCCCTGGTTCACACTGGTGCGACATCAAGTGGGACATGCGATTTACAAATCGCACCTGCAGTTGCATCTAATGTATTTCTATGGCATGGTGTGATCTGAAGTACTGCAATTTCAAAATTAGTTCCTGCACTACTATTTTCCGATTTCATTGTGACCTGTTAAGTGAAGTCGCAAGCCGCAGTGAAATCGGAGGTAGAAATCGCACTAATCTGCGGCTTTGAAATCGAGCTACTTCAAGTGAAGTAGCGCAATTTCAAAGTTGCATTCAGTGTGAACCAGGGCTAAAAACTAGAAGATGATTGGTTACTATGTACAGCTGTACCAGATTCTGTGTGCACCAGTTTTAGTAAATCACAGTGGCTAAATGGTTAGTACTTCCGCCTGGCAGTACGCGGGTCGTTGGTTCGAATCCCAACCATGGCACCACCTGAATGGAGTTTGCATGTTCTCCCTGTGCCTGCGTGGTTTCCTCCGGGTACTCCAGTTTCCTCCCACACTCCAAAGACATGCTGGTAGGTTAATTGGATCCTGTCTAAATTGTCCCTAGTATATGAACGTGAGTTAGGGACCTTAGATTGTACACCCCTTGAGGGTTAGGGACTGATGTCAACGTACAACATATATGTAAAGCGATGCGTCAACTGACGGTGCTATCAGGGGCGGACTGACAACTCATGGGGCCCCCGGGCAATAGGGGATCATGGGGCCCGTGTCCTTGTTTTGTTTTTTTTTGTTTTTTTTATCCTTCCTTAGATCCAAGCCTTGCAATAATCCTGTCTCTGAGCTCTGCAGGCAGTTCCTTTTAACCTCATGGTTTTTGCTCTGATACAGTATGCATTGTCAGCTGTGAGGCCTTTTATAAAGAGGTGTGTGTCTTTCCAAATCATGTCTGATCAATTTAATTTACCACAGCTGACCTCCAATTAAGGTGTAGAAACATCTCGGCATCCATCATTACCAGGGGCGGACTGACAACTCATGGGGCCCTGGGCAATAGGGGATCATGGGGCCCCTGTGTCCTTGCCAAACTCAAAAAAGCCTATGAAAAAGGTACCAGGGGCATCTTATGGGGCCCCCTACTGACCCCGGGCCCTCGGCAGTGCCCGAATTTCCAAATGGTCAGTCCACCCCTGGGCGCTATACAAGTACCTGAAATAAATCTCCCCTAGTGCATGATAAAACCGATACAACATCAAACACAAAATCGGCTTCTTTTTTGTTCTACTGCCGTTGACTTGCCTCTGTTGATCTCGGGCGCCTTGCGCTCTTTGGCCTGCCTGACGAAATACTGAATGTAGGGATCTTTCCAATAACCAACGCTCACTGCAAACCTGCATGGAGAAAAAACAAACGTAAAGGGTTGGTTCACCTTCGGGATTTACAAATTAATCTCTTCAGCAATAGATCCCAATCAACAAGTGCCAAGTCACTTTTCAGAGCTGGATCTTGTGGCTTGTCCACATGATCTGACACTGCAGTTCAGTGTTCGAGGATCAAACTACAAGTCCCACAATCTAATGACAGTATGCCCAGATTTGGGGGGGGGGGGGGTGGAGTGAGCACATGTTGCTTATTTCTCTGCAGCCAAGATATGAGTTTGATGGAAAGATGAATGAGGAGCATCCAAGGGGCCACTGCACATGAGGATGAGCGAAACAGCAGCTCCACGCTTGTTCTTGTGATCATGAAAGTGGATGAAAGATTATATGGTATGCTCACGTGGGGGGAGGAGAGGGTGTGCTCAATGGGTGCAATCAATCGACATCATTTCTCTGAGCTTGAAAACATACCATCCACCCTTGGGCTGCTGTGCAGTATGGTGCCACTCACAGAGAGCACAACATTTCCAAAACCTGGTCGGCCTACAAGTGTTTCTCAACTTCATTCTTCAAGTACACCTAACAGGCCATGTTTTAGGAATTTCCCTTAGATAAAATAGTTCTCATATATACTGAGCCATTGACATTGATTTAAGGCCTCGGCAAAAAAAAAAAAGTTTTCCAAGCAATGGGGCTGCACCCGCACTGCGCGGGTCAACTGCTTGTCTTGTCTAGGGGTGAGGAGAAAGATTATACTCACCTGATCCTTCATTCCAGCAGAAACCGGTGCTCCCCCACAGTTCCAGTGTGGACTGTTCCTGGTTTCTGGAGCCTGCTCTGGGTGTGTGATGATGTCAGGAACAGACCGCTATTCAAAACCACTGGAGTGCAGGGGTGACAGACCAGTCTTGTGCTGGGAGAATCAGAGGATTAGGTAAGTACATCTCCTTTCTCCTCCCCTAGAGAAAAATGAGCAGGTAACGTGCATGGTGTGGGCACGGCCCCACTCTGAGGAAACCTTTCCCCCCCCCCCTCCCCAGAGTTGGGTGAAGACGGAGGTTGGGAACCCCGGCTCTACAGGTATACAGTTTGAGGGAAGTTGAATTTCTCTGCACTTCACAATGATTACTAACCTACTGGGGCCCCTCGACTGCTCTGCAGTGTTTATTATAAAGGTGAACCTGAAAAAACGCAGGTGGTGCTCACAGGATGAATGGATGTGTAGTGCATTTAGCCAACAGCTTTCCTATACAATGCAGTCGGATCATGGCCGGTGGGGGGGGCCGGCAGGGTGCTCTATATGGCTTCCTGAAAACATCACAGCCCCACCTCCCCCCCAGTACTCCTCTCAAGAACCCTAACCCTAGGTTCACATCTGTGCGGGTAGTGCCGCTGCGGATCGGCATGAAAATCCGTGCAGCCGCACCACCCACAGAGAGAAATGCGGACCCGAGGAGCGTGTGCCATTAGTTCTAATGGCATGTCGCTCGCACTGGGAAACGCAACCGTACTGGAAACCGAGGGTCCCGTGTGGACTGCGTTTTCTAAAGTAGTGCAGGGACTTCTTTCCCTGCGTGGCACGGGAGTCCATTCAAATGAATGGGCTCTCGTGCCCATGAAAAATGCAGCCCGCACAGCCGCTTAGATGTGAACCGGGGGTCAGCCCTGATGTAAGCAGTGGGCGGGCTCTTGGGAGGAGTTATGCAAATATCAAAATCCCCTTATTATTATTATACAGGATTTATATAGCGCCAACAGTTTGCTCAGCACTTTACAATATATGAGTGGGTTTGATTGGGCAGAGTGGGCATTCCTAGTTGGGATGTATTTGCATACAGACACATGGGATGCACTACCTCCATAACTAAAATCCAATGAAAGTGGGCGGGCCGAGGACAGTCGGGTTGGGGAGGAAAGATCTAGATGATGTTGGACGTCCTCCAGCCGGGAAATGAGGTGGGCCCTATCTGGCTTGCTGCCGCTTCCAATGCACACTGTAACAAGCCCACAGACCCATTGCAGCCCAGGAGAGGAGCCTGTACAACTGCAGGACTGAAGGGATGGCTGAAAGGTCAGCTTTAAAATGACCTCCCTGCTGCTACACCCTACAAAGGGGGACCTGAAGGCCTCATACATAGGGGAGTGGGGGCAAGGAAACATCCAGCACCTCCATTGTCCCACACTGCTGGTCCTTCCTGCCACTGAAATGAAAGGGCCACTGCAGAGCAATGTGGTGCCCAGTGAATGGCAGTATATAAATGTAGATGGCTGCGTCACCCTAGGCCAGGGGTAGGCAACTTGCTGCTCTCTAGCTGTTGCGGAACTACATTTCCCATGAGGCATCGCAAAGATTACAAAACTGAGTTATAGCTATGACTTTCAGAGGCATAATGGAACTTGTAGTCCTGCAGCTCTCAGGTTGACTACCCCTGCCCTAGTTTCACACAGAAACGCACAGCAGTCCATTTAACATGATTTCCTATGGGACAGGTTCACATTTCCGCGTTTTCACCCAATGCGTTTTTTTTTTTTAAAGGGTTGGGGACTTTTTTGAACGCAAAATGTTGTATGTTTGGTTCTATAGACTTCAATGGAAACGCTGCAGAAAAGCATGTCATGCGTTTAGCATTTTAAATCTGCCTAGCAACAAGAAAAATGTAAAATATGGGGGAAAAAAACCCCCCGCAAAACGCATCAAAAGCACAAGGGCAGAAACGGCTCAAACGCAACCTGCATAGGTGTAAACCTAGCCCCGGGTACTGGTCTGCCAACCAATCAGGTTTTATCAATTTAAATTGATTTGCCAAGGGGGGGCCTGTGTTGTAAACCTTGGCTTGTCAATAAAGGTGTGCCAATCTGAAAAAAAAAAAAAAATATATATATATATATATAACAAGGCGTCGTGTACGTGAGCTGCTCTGGTGGTCCCTCCTCACCTCTTACATATAGAGGCGTCATCACAGGTGCCCCTCACAGCCTCATCCGCGGTGTCCGAGTCTCCGGACATGTCTCCTCCGTCACTTCTCACCACAACAGGGATCTGGCCGCAAAATGGAGCTCCATTGTCGACAGGAAACACGTGACCTCCACTTCCCCACTCTTTTTTTTTTTTGTGAACTTTAATGTAACAAACAAGCAGAGGATGCAGAGTGGAGCTCCACTCGAGGAGGGACAGCTGTCTGCAGAATGGAGCTCCATTTTTGACAGGAAACACATGACCTCCACTTCCCCCCATTTTTTTTTAGTGAACTTTACATCCTCATTAATATTATTATTATTATTATTGTTATTGTTATACAGTATTTATAAAGTGCCAACAGTTCGCTCAGCGCTGTACATTACAAAGGGGGACAGAACATGCGACAGAACAATAACAATACAATGCAAAACACGAGGGGTTCAAGGGCCCTGCTCTTTCCAGCTTACAATCTAGGAGGGATATTATTATTATTATTATTATACAGGATTTATATATTATGATTATTATTATTATACAGGATTTATATATTATGATTATTATACAGGGTTTATATAGCGCCAATAGTTTGCTCAGCGCTTTACAATATAACGGGAGACAATACAGCAACAATACAGTTCAATACAAGAGGGTTAGGAGGGCCTGATCCTTGGAGCTTACAATCTAGGAGGGATATTATTATTATTGTTATTATACAGGATTTATATATTATTATTATACGGGATTTATATATTATTATTATACGGGATTAAAAACACAGTAAAACGTGGTAACAGGTGGTAAAACGTCACAAACATGGCGTTATTGGACTTTTTTTGACCCAAAAAAATTTTTTGGGGTAAAAAAACTTAAAAAACGCAAACACGGGAAAACGCCACTAAACACTAATGCAGAAATGCTAAAGAAAAAGCTGTAAAACTCACATGTTTAACAGGACTTTTCACAGCTAATGTTACCAGCGTTATCAAAGCGCCCCGTGTGCATGGAGTCTTTAGTTGTAAAAACGCTCTAATGTGGCAAAACGTGGTAAAATGCCTCAAACTGGTGTTTTTGGCCTTTTTTTTTACCAAAAAAATTACTTTTGGGGGGGGAAAAAAAAGCGAAAAAAAAAAAAAAAAACACGAAAAAAAGGAGAAACAGCTGCTAATCACGGCAAAATGTCGCTAAACACTAATTCAAAAAACGTTAAAAAAAGGCTGAAAAACTCACGTTTTTAATGTGACTTTACACAGCTGACGTTACCAGTGCTACCAAAAACGCCCCGTGTGTGTGGAGCCTTTTAGCTGTAAAAACGTGGTAAAATGCTGCAAACTGGCATTTTTGGACTTTTTTTGACCCAAAAAAAATTTGGGGGAGGAAAAAAAGTTAAGAAATGCAAACGCGGAGAAACACAGGAAACAGCCGCTAATCACAGCAAAACACCCCTAAACGCTAATGCAAAAGACGTTAAAAAAAGGCTGTAAAACTCACATTTTTAGTGTGACTTTACACAGCTAACGTTACCAGCGTTACAAAAAAAAAAAAGCTAACAAAACGCTAAAAACCACAAACACAGGAAAACGCCGCTAAACGCTAATGCAGAAAACGCTTAAAAAAAGCTGAAAAACTAAAGTCCTTTAATGTGACTTTACACAGCCAACATTACCAGCGTTATCAAAACGTCCCGTGTGCATGATAGTTCAAAAATCCGTGAGTGTCCCGGGCAATTTGTGACAGTTGGCAACTATGATTAAGGTGGTAAATGAACTCACTTAGTGCCTTATTACATTAAATTATCCTCAGAACCTGTGTAATTACTATTTGTTGGGGTTTAAAGGGATGAGGTGGCAACCCTATGCCCACTGCGCATGCGCGAGTAGAGCTGCGCCTTGAGAATGGTCCTGTAGTCTTCTGGGACCTGTCACCTGTCCTAGAAGACTACAGGGAGGAAGGACAACTTCAGCTTCTGATCACCCTAGGCCAGGGGTAGGCAACCTGCTGCTCTCTAGCTGTTGTGGAACTACATTTCCCATGAGGCATTGCAACATTACAAAACTGACAGTTACAGCTATGACTTGCAGAAGCAGGATGGAACTTGTAGTCCTGCAACAGCTGGAGACCCGCGGGTTGCCTACCCCTGCCCTAGGCGATCGCAGTGGGTAATTTCAGGTACCCGCTGCCCAAAAGTGCCAATCCTTAACGGGGAGTGGGGGATCCTTAAAGCGGAACTTCCCTTTTGGGTGGAGCTCCGCTTTACTGTAACAAACAAGCAGAGGCTGCGGAGTATAGTTCCACTCGACAAGAGGGGTCTGGCTGCAGAATGGAGCTCCATTTTCGACAGAAAACACGTAACCTCCCCCTTTTCTAAAGTGAACTTAAAGTTGGGTTCCACCCAAAAGTGGAAGCTCCGCTTTTTTGCCTCCTCCCCCGTTCAGCTGCCACATTTGGCACCTTTTGGGAGGGGGGGGGGGGGCAGGTACCTGATTTTGACAGGTACCCACTCCCACTTCTGGCAGAGTACGCAGCAGTGAACTGAGCCGGAATTTCAGCACCCCCCTGCATAGCATGTTTCATACATGCGCAGTAGGAAACTGGTAGTTAAGCCGCACTTAGACAGGTCTACACCAGAGGATCTCCATGTCACACCATCATCATTGGGGTGATCTCTACATTGCCACTTTATTGAAGGAGTCTCATTAGCACCTGCCCCCAAGGAGCATTGCCACCACCTCTCTTCTAACAAGATTGCTACAGTTTCTTTACCGCAGGTGTGTGTTGGACCGACAATCAGGGGAGGTTGGAGACTGGTAGACCCTTTTTCCTGCAGGTGTGCTTTGGACCAGCTATCATAGGAGGTTGGAGGCCGGTAGAGACCCTTTTTCATGCAGGTGTGCATTGGAATGGCTATCGGAGGAGGTTGGAGGCCGGTAGACTTTTTTCCCACAGGTGTATGTTGACCCAGCTATCAGGGGAGGTTGGAGGTCGGCAGACCTTTTTCCCCCCACATGTGTGCATTGGACCGGATATTAGAGGAGGTTGGAGGCTGGCAGACCTTTTTCCTCAAGCAGGTGTGTGCTGGACTGGCTATTGGGAAGTTGAAGGCCAGCAGACCTTTTACCCACAGGTGTGTGTTGGACTGGCTATGAGGGGAGGTTGGAGGCCCATAGATGTTTTTCACACAGGTATGCGATGGACCAGCTATCAGGGGAGGTTGGAGGCTGGTAGACCCTTTTTCATGCAGGTGTGCGTTAGAATGGCTATCAGAGGAGGTTGGATGCTGGTAGACTTTTTTTTCCCACAGGTGTATGTTGACCCAGCTATCAGGGGAGGTTGGAGGTCAGCAGACCTTTTTCCCCACATGTGTGCATTGGACCGGATATTAGAGGAGGTTGGAGGCTGGCAGACCTTTTTCCTCCCGCAGGTGTGTGCACAACAATACTATCTGTTACAGTTTGCGGTGCTCAGATACTCAGATAAACCAATGTGGTGACTGGCATTTCTGTAATTCAGTGTTTCCTCTGCTCCTCTTATTTGTGTACCACCATGGTATGCTTTGTGTCACCTTAACAGTTAAAGGGTCAGTTCACCCAAAAGTGATAAATCTGTGTTACAAGTGGAGTCTACTAGGCTTAGTCACTCACTGGCTTCTTATGTCTCATTTAGTGTTATTACCAGGGGCGGACTGACCATTTGGGAACTTGGGCATTGCCCAAGTTCCTTGGGTCAGTAGGGAGCTGCATGAGATGCCCCTGGTACCTTTTCATAGGCTTTTTTGGGTTTGATTTGATTGTGGGCGAGGACACAGGGGCCCCATGATTCCCTATGGCCCGGGGGCCCCATGAGTTGTCAGTCCGCCCCTGGTTATTATCTTACAATAATTTCTTGCTCTGTTCCCACTTCTGCTGCATACTCCATCCAATAAACTGAATTACTCATTCAGGAGAGTTGAACCCCCTTCTGCATTGGATGTGAAGATATGGGATCTCAATTTCAGATATCTCACCACAATATATGAGAACTTATTAGGTTGTATAACTCTGCTCCATCTTTTACTGAAAGCTTTGGGTAGAGTGACCCTCCAAAAATGAGCATAGGTAAGATTGTGTCATACTGCCATAATACTTCCTGTGCTCTTATCCTGTCCTGAAAATCAGCATCAATCTAGGAAGATGGGCATCTATAAAGCAGTAGCACAGCTTTACCACGGCCATACTGCTGCTTTAGCCAACTGAAAACAGACATGTTATCCCTTTCTTGCCCAGCCTTGGTATCTCTGTAACAAGGTCTGGCCAATCACATGGCCACTGGCGGATCACATGACCTGGGAGCAGGACCCACTGGCTCCTGATCCTTAGTGGAGATGAAGATCTGTCCATGACAGCTTGGCCACTGTGTTAGGAGCAGGACTGACAACTCATGGGGCCCTGAGCAATAGGGGATCATGGGGCCCCTGTGTCCTTGCCCAAACTCAAAAAAAGCCTATGAAAAAAGGTACCAGGGGCATCTCATGGGGCCCCCTACTGACCCCGGGCCCTCGGGTAGTGTGCCAGAGTTTCCAAATGGTCAGTCCGCCCTTGGTTGGGAGCGTGTTCTCAGCACAGAAAGCCATGTTGCGCATTGGGGCATCTGTGTGTGTTAAAGCCCACCTTCTTTGCATATATGTGTTGTGTGGGTTGCAAAATGCTAAATTTCTTTCCTGTCCAGACCATTTTTCAGCACTGTGATACTTTGACTGACAAATACTTGTGCAACACTGTCCCCAAATGCAATTTATATCCTTGTTTTGAGACAGAGCCTTCTTTTGGTGATATTTACTCACCACTCCTCTTTTTTTATTTTTACTGTATAAAGAAAAAAGAACACATATTTCTATTATAAAACTTTGCAAATAAAAACTCTTTTTCATACATTTAAGACAAAATGTATTCTTCTACACTTCTTTAGTAAAAATAACCCAAATCTGTGTATATTATTTAGTCTGTGGGAAAGTTATAAAGTCTACAAAACTATAGTATGTATATTTGGAAATTTATCTTTCTTGATGTACTTTC